TTACCTCAAACCTTTCTTTTCAACATTACATTTCAAAAACAATGTGATAAAGTTTACATTTCAAAATTCAGGTGGTAATTATATTTTATAATTATAATTATTAAAAATTTAAAACCTTAATTCCAACCCTTTCTCTCGTCTCTCTCTCTCTCTCAGTCATACCCACCCAAGCTCATATCTCTCCCCAATCCCAATCTGCAGCCATATCCCACCCAACCCCAAACCCAAACCTTAATAATCCCCCCCCAATCCCGGTGCTACAAACACTTTGCCTCGCCACCACAATCCCGGTGCTGCAATAAAGAAGTCGAGGCGCCACGCCACCAAGGAAACAGCAACGCAATGCTACTATAATGGAAGGGGATCGGAGCCTCTTCGCACGGAGTCGATGGCAGCTACGCTTTGCGGCGATCTGGAAGCTGTGGCCGGAGAAGTGACAGCACCTTTACACGATCTATGGTCTGAGCACGGTGCAAATCTTTTTTTTTTTTTGGTGGATGGGGACTGTGGTACTGGGGATGGGGGTTGTGGTGCGGTGCGGTGGAGGTAGAGTTGTGTGGTACGTTGGTGGTGTTTGACGGTGGTTCTGTTTTCGACATCACGGTGATGGTGCTGTGCACGGTGATGGTACAGATCTATTTTTAGTTGGTGGATGGGGGCTGTGGTGCGGTGGATGGAGACTATACCGCTGTGGATGGGGACTGTGGTGCGATAGAGGTGGAGTTGTGCAATGCGGTGGTGGTGTTTGACGGCAGTGTTGTTTTCGGCATGGTGGCGGTGTTGCTGTGCGCGGGGATGGCGCTGTGGGGCGATGGTGGTGTGCTGTGCAATCTGGTGGTTGAGTGAGTGGTGCGATGGTTGTATGGTGATATGGGCAATGGTGGTGCAATGGAGGTGGGACGTACGGTGTTGTGCTGTGATGGAGTTTGACGGTGGTGCTGTGGCGTAAGCGTTGGCGATGTCGTGGGTGGGATGGGATTTAGTGGGTGTCTGACCAATTATTTGGTTTATTGTGTCCCAATTAACTGTTTGTGACTGAATGTGACTGTTTGTGACTGATTGTGACTTGTGAA